GGTCAGCCCCAGCCCTGGCGTATTGTTTAAGCCTCATGTTGACCTGTTTTTTAAACCTTACATAAAACAAAAAATAAAAATCAATTTGACCTCATTCTGTGCATGAGTGGTGACCTCACACCTGGCTTCCCAGGGGAAGGTGTCCAGAGAGCCTGGCCCTTAGGCATGCAGTTGAAAGCTGCTTTCCTGCAGTGACTGGCTGGTGTCCCTGTTCCCGTTGCAAGGCCACTTGCCCTTGCTCAGCTTACTCTATGTCCTCCTTGGGCTTCCAAAGACTAATGACCTGCTTTTGTGCCCTTCCCAGCAACCCTCACAGAGTATGTTTGAATTGAGTTCTAAGACTGCTCTGGAAAATACCCCGTGACTCATGGATTCTGGGAGTGTGCTGGCTACAGCTAGACAAAGATAGTCTTGGCTTGATTAAACGAGTGCTTTCCCTAAGCATGTGCTCCTGGGAGCAGAAAAGCACAGGTTTTCTTCCATCGAATTTTATAAAAAGGGACACTTACTTATTTTTTTCCTTTTTCTTATAATGAAAGATTGACATCAGTGTCTTCTTCCTAACACTGGTTAGATGTTTGCATGGCTCAAAGATTCCCCAGAAGAAACCTACAATTTCTTCGTGAGGAAGAATGTTCATGGTTACTCAATACTCTTGGGCATTCTTAAATGCTGTGTGGATGGGAGTGTCACCCAGACAAGGGGGCTGTCAAACAAATACTCTCTCGTTCCATGCTCCTGGGTCATCAGGTGATTACCAACAACAGACAACATTTTTTCAAAAATTAGAAAATTAGCTACCATCTTGACTGTATCTGCTCAAGTGAACCTTCATTTCGTGAGATAAAAAACCAAATGAGTTTGGAAAATTAAAAGTAACAAACAGGCTTTTGTGCCATATATTTATTTTCACAGATGAAAATGACAAAAATAAATGTTTGGTTTGAGGAAAACTTTTGAAGTGGATTTCAGGTTTAAAAAATGGAGTGGACTTTGATTATTCTTAGAAAGTTTGTGGGAATTCTTACATCTTTAGTGGAAGTTGAGTGAGGAGGAGCTGTTTTCTGAACAGACCCTGTGAGGAGCACAAAATAGGGCTCTGAACCAAAATGAAAAGTCCTTCTGAATGATGTTGGGAAAACTATTTGTGATAATATCAGTGAAGTTTTCTTCTTGTTTCCTCACAGGAGTTAGCAATCTGCCTAGCACTTTTGGCTTTTCTTATACTTCACTACATCTGGAGTCAGATTCAGTGCTTGATTTTTACTTTAATGGGTAGGAAACATTTTCTTTTCCCTTGACTAACATCTCATGTAGTTTCTTTTATCATATTTCTCTTCTGTAGGCCCAGAGATGAATTTCTCCCCAACCTTGAGGCTCAGCCACCTAAAAAGATCCAAGTTCCTAGACAATACTGTGGCATGGAGCTCCCACAGTGCAATCACCTCATGGCAGCTTCCTGAGGAGAATTGCTCCATTATCTAATCGTGCATGGAGGGAATTCTGATTCAGAAGTGACTCCGTGGGCAATTATTCAGTAATCCAGTAACAATGGGCCCTCCAAATGGCCATTAATGGGGGGAGCAGTTTCAAAAGGCATCCATGATGCTGTGGGAATTTCCATAGATTAAGCAGGAGCATTTCATCTCCTTACACCAGAGGGGCCCAGGAGGTGGCCGGATGACTCCTGTTGGGGATACATAGGCAATTCT